CGCACGCCTTTTTGTGAGACAGAGTGACAGAGTTGCCACCTAAGGACAGAATTGTCACTAAGTCAGCAGGCTGGCCTTGAAGTCATTCTGTAGTCTATGCACACTATAAACTTTCTATCCTCCTGCCTCAGCTTCCCAAGTAGCAGGGAATACAGGCCTGTATCAGTGTGCTCTGCTTATTTGTGTTCTTATGAAAATAGAATCTTGCTGGAAGTTGTTGGAGCAAGCCTTTAATTCCAGCACTCGAGAGACAGAGGCAAGTGGATCTCTATGAGTTCGAGGCCTGCCTGGACTATAAGAGCTAGTTCCAGGACAGGCTCCAAAGCTACAGAGAAACCCTGTCTTGAAAAATCAAAAACGAAAAAAGAAAGGAAAACAGAGTCTTACACTGTAGCCTAGTGTGACCTGGAACTCTTAGCAATCCTCCTGCCTCAGCCTCCTGGATGTTAGAATGGCAGGCATGAGCCATCACATCTGTTTGGTGCTAAAGTCTTGATTACTCCAAGATACTCCCCACATCCACTTTAAGGGTTGGATTTGCTCTCTCTCACCCATGTTTGGGGGTGAGCCTGCTCAGGGTGTGTGATGTTCTGAGGTCTGGGACCCTAGCACCGGATGGATCGGGTGCTAAGGAATATACTAAGCTGTGAGGGCAGAAATCCCGCTGCTGGGAGATCAACAAGATGGACCCTCGGAACAAGTGTTCACAGGAGAGAGCAAACAGGCAGACTTTGAGGGTGGGCACGAGATTAAATGGATGGAACTAGATACCTGGCAGTCTGGTGATCCATGTGAGCTAACTGTGGCATCACAGGGTCTGTTTCCCAAATGCCTGAGTCTCTATGCCCTGTGGAGTGAGACATGAGTCCTTATTTTCAAAGGATCATTCAGATGTGTCTGGCTCCCCCTCCCTCCCCAGTTTTTCCTGACAGGGTCTCATATAGTCCAGGCTGGCCCCCAAAACTTACTGTGTAGCCTTGAACTCATAACTGTCCTGACTCTACCTCCCTATATTTGGTATTACAAGGATGGATCTCTATCCTCAACTTTACAGGGTGCTGTGGATGGACCTCTGGACTTCATGGACACCTGGCAAGCTCTTGACAAACTGAACCTCATCCCCAGCCTGGCAGCCTTTTCAAGAGGACACAAGGCCTTGTCTCCTGGGCTAGTTTTCCCTGGGAAGAAGGGATTATATACTTGTCTTGTAGCCCAAGCTATGCTTAAACTTCCCACTTAGCCCATGCTGGCCTTGAATCTCTGATCCTCCTGCCCCCTCCTTCCAGATACTGGGATAAGCTGGGATAAAGGGGTGCACCACCATTTCTGACTCGTGTCCTTTTTTTCTTTTTTCTCTGTGTTGTTTGTTTTTGTTTTTGAGAAAGGGTCTCACTATGCAGCTCAGGCCATCCTGAAACTCTCAATGCAGACCATGCTGGCCTTGAACGTACAGAGACTCGTCCTGCCTCTGCCTCATCTTGCCAAGGGTTGAACTAAAAATATCCACCACCATGCCGGTCAATGTCCTTGTTTTTATGATTCCAGACATAGCTGAGTTCATTGTGTGTGTTTGGAGGGAGGGTGTTGCCTGTCTGTTTTTGAGAGTTTTGATATGTGATCCAGGGTGGCCTCAAACTCCTGGCAATCCTCCTGCCTCAGCCTCTGAAGTGCTGGGATGACAGACCAGCATTGCCATATCTTGTGTACCAGTGTTTTTGTGAGAACACAGATGCGTTTCTTTTCTGGAAAATCTTCCAACTTATTTTCCACGGCCAGGACTCTGAATTCTGTTACGAGTGTGGGTTGAGTCACTCCCTGCCTCCGTGGGGTCACCACGAAAAGGTCTCTTTATGGAAGGGACATACTTGGTGACTGTTTTCCTAAGACCAACTCCATGGGACTCTCCAGCAATGCGTGGGGCGGGGGGCCGGGCCCGACTTTGAACATCTGCCGTCCCCACTCCATCTTAACTGCACATCCTTGCTCTGTAAAGGTGCAGGACAGTATGGAGAGCAGAGGACTCACCCCAACCGGTCCGAGCAGACCGCTGCTCCCCGGGGCCCGGCTCCTCCACACTCCCACCCAGCACCGAGGGCTCCCCCAGATCCGGGAGGACTTTGGCGGCGACCAATGAGCGCTCTCGCCGTCTCCGGGAGCCGGGCCGGCTCTGCCCGCCTGGCATTGGGCACGCGATGGGCAGCGGCGGGCGGGGCCTGGGGGCTCCTCGCGCCTGGTTGGGCCAGGCTTGTTGCTGGGTAACGGGGCGGCGAGTTTCCCCTGGCAACGGCGGCGGGTACCGCTCACTGGCTGGCCGAGATGGAGGCAGGGCACAGGCAGGCAGGCCCCGCAGACCCCAGCAACAGCGCGGCCCCCGCCCCGCGCTGAGCTGTAACCTTCACACGCACAGCTCGGACCCTGCGGACGCTGGGACGCCCCGCCGCCCCCTGCATCCTGGCCCCATTTGGGGACCCAGGATATCACTCCCCATCCGGACCAGGGTCCTTCGGTGGAAAGTTAAGTCCTTCCCAACTCCTGAGCTGCAGTTTCCTGCTTTAATTTTTTTTTTTCTCCCTTATATTTTAGACAAGCTCTTACTATGGAGCCCAGGGTCGCCTCCAACACACAACAATCCTCTAGCCGCAGTCTTTCAAGTACTGGGATGACAAGTGTGTACCACACTGAGCTAACAACTGCTTATCTTATTCTTTTTTGTTGTTGTTGTTTTTGTGAGACAGGCTCACAACATACCCCTGCCAGACCTGAACCTCACTATGTAAACCAGGTTGCCCTCAAACTCACAGAGATCTGCTCACCTCTGCCGCCTGAGTGTTGAGATTAAAGACCTTCATCATCACGTCCGACTTGTTTAACTTTATTCTTGAAACAGTCTCATACAACCCAAGGCTGGCCTCTAACTTACAGCAATTCTCCTGCCTCAGCCTCTCGAGTGCTGGGATGACAGGGATGAACCGCCATACGGGGCTGACATCTGTTTATTTATTTCATTTAAAATATTTTTTTTCTTGAGACAGAGTGGTCTAAGACTTGCTACATAAATCCAGATGACCTTGAACTTCTGACCCTATTTTCTCCATTTCCCAGTTCAGGGACTACAGGCCGGCACCACAACATCCAGTCATACAGGGTACTTGGGACCGAACTCAGTGCCTTGTAAATGCTTAGCAGACACTACAACAGAGTTGCATCCTCGGCGCTGACATCTGAATTTTGGAGCCAGCATCTTCCTGGGAAAGTGTGACTCCTGGAGCAGTCCTCAATCTCAACATGCTGCTGCACTCCATCCAGACCTTTGTTCAGCTTTGGGACAGATGGGGAAAGAGAGACAAAGAGAGGCAGAAATACTTCATTGAGTGTTTTGGAAAGCTGACTTCAGAGTCTGGGGCCTTATCCACTGCACTATGCAGGAGGCCCTTGAAGGAGCTTTAACATTCAGAATGAGAAACACAACGGATGTGTGGAACACAGTTGGAAACATAGCATTTGGGAGACTGGGGCAGAAAGAGGTCTCAAGTTCTTGGCCAACCTGGACTACATAGTAAAACTCTTTCTCAAAGAAAAAAATAAATAAATAAACTTTAAAAATCTATGCATGGGGAACTGGAGAGATAGCTTAGCAGTTAAGAGCACTACAAGCCAGGTGTGATGATGAGCACCCTTATCCCAGCACTCAGGAAGCAGAGGCTGCAGAATCTCTGAGAAAAGGCTGATTGGCCGGTAGGCAGGTGGGACAACCAAACTAGGAGAGTGATGGGAAGAAGGGCGGAGTCAAAGGAGACAGCCTGCTACCGAGGAGAAAATGAGGTAACAAGGCATGAGCCACATGACAAAGCATAGATGAGAAATATGGGTAATTTAAATGTAAGAGTTAGCTAGTAACAAGCCTGAGCTCTCAGCTGAGCATTTATAATTCATATTAAGGCTCTGAGTGATTATTTGAGAGTGGCTACGGCACAGGAAAACTCTGCCTACAGATGTCTGTCATTTCGAGGCCAGCCTGATCTACGTTCCAGGACAGCCAGGATTGTCATACAAAAAAACCCTGTCACATTAAAAAATAAATTAAAAATGCACTTGGATGCTCTTCCAGAGAAGCAGGTTCAATTCCTTGTACCCACTTTGCAGCTCACCTCACAACTGTAACTCCAGTTCTGAGAATCCAAAGTGAGACCCTGTATCAGAAAATGAAAACCTAATGAACAAAAAGTTTTAATAAAGACTGGGGGTATAACTGAGCAACACTATGTCTGTCTAGACTAGTCTACACACAGCCCTAAGTTCGGTACCCAACGGAACAAAAAGGGAGGTCAGCCTAACATCTGAGCTTCTTGCCTCAGCCTCCATAGTGTTGGAATTGCAGAGGTGCACCGGGGACTGCACTAACTTTTCAGTTTAACTCACTGGGAGATTCTAGGCAGCGTCTCTACCACTGAGCCACACCCCAGCCCCTCACTGGGGGATTCTAGGCAAGGGTTCTACCATTGAGTCACACCCTAGCCCCTCTCTGGGGGATTCTAGGCAGGGGTTCTACCACTGAGCCACACCTCCACTCACTCTAGGGAACATTCTGCCTTGTTGGAAAGGTACTGTGGCATCCTGTGGACAAAGAGGTCAGATGTTACTCAGTATGCTAAAATGGCTGACAACAAAAACTTATTTAGTCCTAAATGCCAATGGAGCTGAGGAGAAGAAATCTGGGTCTAGAATGACTCTCTGCCCTACCACTATATCCCCACCCCTCATGGCCACTCTATCCCCACCCCTCATGGCCACTCTATCCCCACCCCTCATGGCCACTCTATCCCCACCCCTCA